GCTGAGCTCCGAGGACTCTGAGACCTGTGACGTCTGCCCTTTTCAATTAGGATAATGAAAATTAAGGGTAGCTGTTGTTAGTTTTTCATTGTTCTAACTATAGAAATGAATGACAGTGAGGTGTTGCCACTAGAAAGAAACAGGAACTCGGGTCCTGGATGCTCCTGTGCTAAACTACTGGTCTTCTTGGCCTCGGTACCTCTTAGTACCTCAGAGAACCTTAAGAAAAACATTCATTTACTTTCCTTTTCTAACCCATCTTTCTTAGCATCACCATCCATTTCCCCCGTGACAATAAAGTAGCTTATTCTGAGGCTTAATCGAAGGGGAAAACAATCCCACCAATGGTTCTAGAATTCTTCCTCAGTGAATGTAAAATCAAAGATAATCATATAGTTGTGACCCTATCTGTAGGCTACCACCTTAACACAGTGAAAGCAAAGTGCAATGAATGTCAACTGGAAAAAAGTGTACAAAGACAAGCTGGCAACGTGTGTGTGAGTGAAAAAGGCCAGACTGGTTCGTTTTGCCTTGTAAACTAGAGGAGAGGACCAGAAGCAGGAAAGCCAAACCAAAACAATGAGAGCAAGGAATGATTTTATGTATGAACCACAAGCCTGTTAGCACTAGCCTGAGAAACATCTGCCTTCTCCCAGACTAGCCCCTTCCCCGGGCCCCTATGAATCCATAATCAATAAATGATCTATTGAACTATCATCACACCTGACCTTCAAAGTGTCACAGCTCAGAAAGACCTCTGTAACCATTGCTATCTCTACTTTCTTTCTCTTTCAGATGTCTTACTGAAATCTTGGTTCTGTCCTGGCTTCTGCCTAAAATTTCCCAGGTAATATAAGGATTTCACTGGTCTCTTGTCAGCCCCTATCTTAGCCACATTTTCTTGCTGATACTTGTCATTGCTGGTCATTCCCCCTCAGCATTTGAGCCACTCTTCTCTCTTACCCTCGTTAACCATCATGTCTTCTCGGTGCCCATGCTGCTTCAGTACCCTGAGTCCATTTTGTTTCTTGTTTGGCTCAGTCTACAACCTCTTCCTGCCTTCGCTGTCACCAGAGTTATACATCTACCCCTGGACTGCCAGGGCTGCTTTTCTAAATAAATAATTCTATGAGCAAACATTTAAAATCCTTCCCATTGGTCACAGCATCCTGCTCCAGTTTTATAGCCTGTCACATTATCTGTCTATCGTTGGAGCATCATCCACTGCTGTGTTCCTTTTTATGTCCTATACCAGAGTAAATGGATGCACTTCATAGACCATGCTCTTTTATTCGCTGTGTCCTTATCCCTTATCCCTGCCCTGAAATGTTCTTGCTCTGTCTTTCCTGATCACCCACTAATCTTTCAAGGCTAGGTTTTTGCCATGTGGTTTATGACCTTCCTGACCACTCCATGCACCAACATAAAGGACCTTTCCCACATTTGTACACTACAGTACCCTGTAAATACTTGTAAGATCCACAACACTTTGCTGCTTGTTAATTTATTTTTCTTTCTCCTTTAAGACTCTAAGCAGCACAAGAATAAAGTTTGTGTATTAGATATTTCTGTAACCTCATTCTTCTGGCACATAACTTGAATTAAATACTTTGTCTTCTATTATTCAGTAGTTTTCAGGCTCCTCAGAACTTTGTGTAATTGTTAATGCAGTCAAATTTAATTTCATCCTTATATGCGGCACTAGGAATTGAATCTCGGGCTTTGTGCATGCTAGGGAAGTGCTTTGCTTCTGAGCTACCGCTCACTGTGCGTCTGTCTTTCTTCTGAAACGGCATCTCACTATGTTGCCTAGATTGGTGCTTAGCTTATGAATCTCCCACCTCAGCCCCCTGCATAGGTGGGATTATAAGCATATGCTTCTCACATTAATTTTAATGCATTTTTATTAACCCCAATAAAACCATGTTGCTCCAACTGGATTTTCCTAATCTCTCTGTATTTCAGAATGCATGGTAAGTCATAATGTACGGTAAGGCTCTGAGAATTTGACTCTTTTGAAGCCTTTAGGTCCATAAAATTGTAAAACATACAATTTTCCATGCCCAGTTTATTTTTCTTAGCATAATGGTTTTAACAGTTATCCACGTTGTGCTCTATTTTGCTGAGTAATATTTTATTGCATAGATCTAACATATTTTATTTATATGATCTTCAGTTGATACACATTTGGGTTTGTCTTAGTTTCTTTTCCTGTTGATAATGGCAGGGAGATCAAGGTTGCAGGCTTGATGCAGCTGGATACGCTATACCCATAGTCAGAAGTCGAAAGGAATGGTTACCTGCTGGAGTTCAGTTCTCTTTTCCATTTTTATGTAGCTCAGAATCCCAGTCAGGCAATGGCTCTCTCCTCAATTAGTGTAGTCAAGGTAATTTCCCCCAGACATGCTACCTCCTACATGATTCTAAATTCTGTGAAGTGACAATTAACACAATTACAGTTCCACTCCTGTCATCGGATAGACACTCAGATGCATTGCTTTTGAAAGCAACAACCTTCCACCTCCTGTCCCTATAGGCTTATGACTAAGTTATAATATAAAATGTATTCAGTGCAACTTCAAAAGTCCCCATCATCTTTAACAATCCCGACTTTTTAAAAGTCCAAAATTGCTTAGTTGTGAATTCCTACAAAGTAAAAAAAGAAGTTATATAGTTCCAACATATAATGACACAGAGTAAACATTTCTTTTCTAAAAGATAAGAATCAAGACATAGCAAGGAATGCTCAGACCAAAGCAAGACAAAATTTCAACAGGGACAATAGCAAATCCTGCAGCACCATGTCTAGCATCTGGAAAACATGACGAAATTAGCTAGGTTCTAGCTCTGCCTGCAGCACACATAGCCTTTCTCTAGTTCCATGCAGCCCCAGCAACTTTTCTTGACATTCACTCCATGGACATGGTATCTCCAACTCCCTGTCTATTGCAACTTAAGCTTCATATTCATAGCTTTACTCAATAGCCTCTCAAGGTCTCCTTGTATGGACTCCAACCCTGAAACACATTGCCTAGTCTTAGCTGCTATTTGAAGCTCTGGAGAAAGACTCTGTAACTCTCTCATTCTTGAGTGTTTCCTATCTTCAAAATCAGTACCACATGGATGACACTGCCAGTCTTTCTGTAGCTCAGGAGGGAATCTGTCATCCTTGAACCACAGTTGTACCAGATTCTGGGTGCTGACCCTGGGGAAACATTCTCCCAGCCTGCTGCTTCTGAGGATTGGAAAACTCTCTCAGCTGGATTCTCAGTTCATGACTTTTTTTTTTTTTACAATAAGTTTGCATGTTTGGAAGTTGGAGCCTTTTCTATATGGGGTCATGCCTTCGAGACCCCTCTCCTAGTTTCCCAGTGCAGTCTATCACTGTTGCTCACTGATGGAAACATTGGCCCCATATGTTGAGGTGCTATGTCTGGATCAGACCACATGGGTTTGAGCTGATGTAACAAGGGTGTAAATACTGGCTGAAATTTGATAGGTGTCTTCAGGAGAACTGCTAGTGACATATCTCACCAGGTGTCCAACAAGGCAAACAGTCCATTTTCTACTATAACCTTTTAAATGACTGGGATGTAGTGAAGGTTTGAATTTTCATTTCCTTAATGACCTTAATCTGAAATATCTTTCATGTGTGTGACCACTTGTATATCTTGTTTGTAAAAATCTCCATATTTGTTGTTTTGCTGCTGTCCAAGTACTGAACTCTTACTTGGTGTGACATAATTTTTTTCTCTGATTCTATGATGATTTCCTTTGAAACAGAATGTTTTTAATTGATGTCCTGTGTACTTTCCCCCTTTTTGTTTATGCTTTGTTGGCAAAAATATGCTTTTATTATCTTATCTGGGGTCAGGAAGACTTCCCTGTTTAGAGTTTTAAAGCTTCAGCTTCTATTTATGTCTTTTATCCAATCAGTATAAATCTGTGTATACAGTATGAGGACGGGTCCAAATTCCTTCTTATGTCCATGGCAAGTACTTTTAATACAGTGGCAAGAGTGACATTTTTGTCTTATTTTTGACTTCAGGGAAAACACTTTAACCTTTCATCATTTACTATATAAGCTGTGGACAATTTTTTTTGTTTAGATTATGGGTTTTTCATTAGGTTCAGGGAAATCTACTTTCGTTTATTGAGCATTTTTAATTGCAAATGTGTTCTATTTTGTCAGGTGTTTTTTTTGCATTAATTGGGATGGTCATGTAGTCTTTGATTTTATTTTATTAGTTAATTTTCAGCAAGTAAATTAACCTTAAATTTCTGGGTCAATTCCAAATAAATATTCCTTGTATTTAATCTTTTATGACTAAATTATTTTAATATTTCACAAGACAAAAGAAGGAAGTGGACAAAGAAGCAAGACAAAGATAACTTCCTTTAGGTAGTGGCTATGTAGATGATATTGAAGCTTTGGAAATAAAATCACCACTGTATAATGTATTTAAAGGAATAAAAGCTCATAGGACTTTTCTACTCTTTGGATTGTATAGTTTTTAAATTGTAGTTTTGATGTAAAAATCTGACCCTAATAGCTCTACTTTACAAAGATTGCCGTAATGCTTTCCTTGGATTTTCCCCACCTTTCTCTCCCTATCTGCCCGCTCACCTTTCTTCAGACAGCATTGTCCCAAGTAAATTATTATTCCAAATTGTTAATTGGGAAGTTGGTGATGTTCCTTCTGATTTTCTACCTGACTTAAGTTCTTGGCACCATTAGAGTGAAGAGAAGAGACATTTACAGAGAACCGTAAGGACAGAAACACTTACATTTAGTTGTGACCTCAATAATGATCAATATCTCTATTAACAAAGCCAAGGGCTTCATCTTCAAGCAGCTCCTTTTCACTGTAACACAGGCAGAACTAGGTGGCTGGCCCACAAGCTTCCTCTTCTCAGGTCTGTGGGATTCAGGACTCAGTTGCTAAGCAACCATTTCCTTATTCTTAGGCCAATGGGCTTCTTGGTAGTTCCTTTGAAGTTGGAATGAAGCTGGGTGCTTGGAGAGAGCAGGCTAGGGGAAGGGACTATATCTAATCTGCCCTCCCTTTGGCTGAAGATAAAGGCTAAGCTTGAAATAAGTAGAGGTGACTTCCTAATACAGAAGGGGTTACCATAAGCCTAGTATGTAAGTTTCTGTACTAAGATCTACTGTGTTCGAGGTTGCTGGTGATTCTTTCTTTTATGTTACCTCTAGAAAAATATATTACCCATTTCTTGTACTATATGGAGATGTGTGAGGCTGGATAATTTTGTTTATTTTAGTTCCCAGTCCTTGGATGTGCAAACATCTGGTTAGTGAAGTCAAAACATAGTATAGGGTACCACATGGCAGCAAAGACAGGGAGTCCATCTGTATATGCGCATTTCTTCTATTCTCTTCCTTTTTAGGTTACATTTATTTATTTGCTTAATTTGTAGAAGGTGGCATACACATGCCATGATACCAATGTGGAGGTCAGAGGACAGCTTGTGAGAGCCAGTTTTCTCCCTCCAGTATGAAGGCTCCTGGGAGATTGAGATCAGGTTGTTGGGCTTGGTGGCAGGACCACTTCCTGCAAAGTCACCTTGCTGACCCGTTCTTCCCCTTCTTAGAACGCCACCACATTCAATCACAGAGCCTTCATCCTATTGACCATATCTAATTCTTACCATCTCCAAAGCGCTATATAGTAGGGTCAACACTTCAATACCTCATAATGGGTCTTAGACCTTAGCACATGAAACCTTGCAAGGGACACACAAGCCATATCCAAATCACAGAAAAATACCATTAAGTACTTGAGCTGACCTGATATTAGATATTATACCCCCAAGCTAAGGCACCCCTAGGCTATGGCAGAGAAGACGACTATGGACCAGATACATTTTATTCCCAAATGAGTGTTCAGGAAAAAGAACAGAACTATTAAGAATAACTAAAAAGTAGAACAGATTGAGAAATTATACCTAGAGGATACACAATTTTTACATCACGTCCAGGTAATTACTTCAGAAAGACCATTGTAATGGGTTTTTAAATTACTCCCTTTGTTAGTTTCCATTGCTATAGCAACACACCATCATAATTGTAGAGGGTTAAAATGATATTTGTTCTCTTTCAGTTCGTGGGGCCAGAAATCTGAAATAATAGTGTGTTGAGGTCAAGGCCAGGGATAGTTTCATTGGGAGGCACCAGGGAAGAATCAACTTCTCCCCTCTCTTTTGTTTGTTCTTTTTTTTTGCTCTTGTCTGGTAATGGAACTCAGGGTCATTGGAATGTCAGGCAAGGACTCTACTGCTAAGCTAGAACTACCCCAGAATGCACTCATTTTTTTAAAAATGAGGTTTATTTGTTCTTTTTATTTATGTGTATGGGTGTTTAGTTGCATGCATTTATCTGCACTGCATGTGTGCCTTTGAAAGTCAGAGGCTATTGGCTCCTGGGTACTGGAGTCAGAGGTGGTTGTATACCACTTGATCTGCCTGATATGGCTATTGCTGTCTAAACACAGGCGTGCTCCACCTCTACCCCCCCCCCATTTACTCTCCCCAGTGTAGTAAGCATTCTTAATTACCGAACCCCCAGAATAAATTCTTTAATCTTCAATTTTCAGTTTGTAGTGGCTGCTACCACTCAGAGACTTGGGACTACATTCCTTCAACCTCTGTTCAGTGGTCACTTACTTTCTTGTTTTTATAGTCATATGCTCCTTAATGATGGAGATACATTATGAGAAATTTGTCACTGTACAAACATTATAGAATGCACTTTGCAATCATAAATAGTATGAACCAATTACTCATCCTCACCTCCTGATGTAGCCAACAGACAGTGTAAACAAAATGTATGCAGCTGCTGGAAGCATGACATGGCATACTCTCAACTTCAGTTTTGTAAGTAGAGAAATAGAAAGGTAAAAATAATTAAACACTGTAGAACAGTTAATACATTAACCAGTAACAGTCACTTAGTATTTTAATCAGGTTATATGTACTGTATACAATTGTACGTGCTGTCCTTTTATACAACAATGGGTTTATTTATCTCAGCCTCAATATAGACAGATGAGTGGTGCATTGTGTTATGAGGTTACAATGGCTCTGATGCCACTAGACAATTAGAATTTTATAGATCCATTATTTTATGATAATACCATTATCTATTTTGCTCATTGTTGGAAGATATTATTCACTGACTTGTCATGGGATAATGTTCTTGTACACTGTAAAGATTTGTCACTCATATTGGTTTGATAAAATGCTGATTGACCAGTGACAAGGCAGGAAGTATAAGCAGGGAAACGACTGGGAGAATTCTGGGAAGAGGAAAGGCAGAGAGTCGGTTACCAGCCAGACACAGGGGAAGCAAGATGAGAATGCCTCACTGAGAAAAGGTACCAATCCATGTGGCTAAACATAGACAAAAATTATGGGTTAATAATAAACCTGAGCTAATAGGCCAAACAGCTTACAATTAATATAAGCCTGTGTATGTTTTGGAGTGGGGGACTGAATGGCTGTGGGACTAGGCAGGACAGAAACTTCCATCTATACTGACTGACTAGCTGGATCTGTCTCCCTTCTGTAATCATAAATAAAAAATGAGAAACTATAAAAGTGCTTTATATGAATATAAAGGAACATTGAAAGTAGAGATAAGAAACTGCGAGTAGAGGTCAACTGTGAATCAAGGAAGGAGTAATGAAGAATGAAATTATTTGGATCATTTTTGTTGTTCTTGTTTGTAGATAGTTTCAGTAGGTAGCCTAGGATGGTATAAGACTTAGTCTTTTTGTCTGAGTCTCCTGAGTGTGGGGATTACAGCTGTATACCACCAATGCTAGACCCACAAACATAATGCTAATGTGGTATCTAAAGGATGAGAATAAGTCAGTTACATAAACCATGCTTCAGATATAGTGTCAACATGAGAAAAGGTTATGAAGTGAGGATAAGGTATGGTCAAGAAAATTAAAAATTATAAATGTTTGTATAGCTAGAACCATAGATTGGGGGGGGGCAGGTACAGAATGGTATAAGTCTGGATTGGTAGAGATGGTACAGAATGGTATAAGCCTGAATTGGTAGAGATGGTTATTCCATTCTTGATGACTGTACTAGTTAACTTAGGGCAGCCAAAATAAAATACCATAGGTAAGGACTTAAGTAACAGGAAGTTAAATCTCTGACTCCTCTGGAGGCCGAGAGCTTAATAGTGTGCCAGCATGGTAGAATTCTATCTGATAGTACTCTTCTTGTCTAGAAGATACCAACTTTCTCTGTGTTTTAATATGGCTGAGAAAGAATATGGGAGGGAGGGAAACCAAGACTTCACTCCTATTAAAATTAATGTCCTAAACAATAATTATAACTCCAGATATAACCACATTGTATGGAAAGACTCCAAAGCATAAATGTTGAGGTGGGTGGGACACAATTCAGTCCGTAGAAAAGGCCAACAAGAGCTATTTAATTTCTACCAATGAGGTGCCATGATCACATTTGACAAGATAAGCTAAGATGTGTAGAGAATGGGCAGAAGGGCAGAAGTGAATGTGAAGGCGGGTGAGGAAGTGTTTTCAGTGGCTTAACTACATTCAGACAGCATGTCAGGTGGAAAATAGAGAATTCTACACTAACCCAAGAGGTAAAACTGAGTGGGTAGAGTTCTTCATTTGATATGAACATGATGGCATAAGAAGCACCTGCTAGGGTGGTTAGGTTTTCACACTGCTTAACTGAATGTGTGATAAAGCTATTTAGACAGGGAACACTCAAAGGAGATTACACATGGGGGAAGGACCCAGACATTCCTTTGATATCTAGAACATTTTGGAAAGGTTTGAGAGATTAACCCTTTTGAATGATATTAATTTTTGTAATTATTAAACACAAAGGCTTAAATACTGCCTAAGTACCCATGTCTTAATACAATAAAAGAACTAGTTCTTTGAGCTTCCATGAGAAAACAGATAGTTAATAGTGCAAGATTTATCAAAAAGCAGAGGTGAAAGGATTGGTCCCAGGCTGGAGTGCAGCCTCCATCTTGAAGGAAAGTGGCTTGGTACTTTATGGCAAACACCTAACATTTAGCACTTTTAATTAAGTTAATTTCCTCCCAAAAATATGATCTTTCATTGTCGAACTAACTTGCAATAACACAATGAAATACCAAAGGCAGTCTACTTAGGAAGTAAAGTTCCCCTTTTGGCTTTATGGTTCTGGAGGTTCAAGTTCAATTCTGCAAGGTCACATTGGTTTGAGTCTCTCATGACAATGCCACATTATGTATGGAGTGTTTGGTGGAACAACCTACTTAGATCTTAGGCTAGATAGCAGAGAGACGTGAGTTTCATGTTTCCTTTTCACAGCATTCCCCAATTACACCACCCTGGAGTAGTACCACTTTGGGGAGAAAGCTTTAGTACACTCTCTCATGGTTTAAGTAAAAATGCTGCAGATCCCCAAGTGGCTGCAGCGGGAGGGCCATGAGACCATGCTGCAGGTCCCTGAAGTGGCAACTGGCAGTGGGCAGCGCGTCCCGAGAGAGCAGCCAGTCCCAGGCAGGGATGGCGCAGTTCCCTGAATGGCTGCAGCAGGCTATGAGTCCCAGGCAGGGAGATGCATGGTGGGTGAGAGACCTCGATGGGGCAGCCAGTCCCACGATGAGAAACAGACAGATGAGCACACCACAAGACCATGCTTTAGATCTCTGAAGGTGCTGGTCCTGGGCAGAGAGCCACATGGTGGGCAAGAGACAGAGACATGGATAGGCACACCATGCAGAGTGAGGTTGGATATTTAGTGGGTTATGGAGGGCAAAAGGGAAAAGGGGAGAAGAGCAGAGAGAGAAAGACGGGGGGGGGTATGGGAGAAGTGGGGAGAAGGAAGAGACAGAAGCTGCCTCTTCAAGAGGGAGACTGGAAAGGAGGGACTCAGTCTGGAAGCTGAAGATCAGGAGTGGTGTGGCTTGTCTCTTAAAGGGACAGGAGAGATCATTACACTCTCCACGTTCAAATGACATCTCCTGGTTAATAGCAACATTGCTTTGACCATCCATGAGAGTGACATCACCTTTTTAAACTCCTCTCTATCCAAAAGTTTATCCCATTGTCAATTTGCTCTTGGTTCTTCATGAATCAAAGC